ATGCTTCAAGTAGCGGTATAGTGCTACTTCATCGGACTTGTTGGGGAGCTTGTTGGCCCTACACTGAGTGGAAGATATCCCGAAGCCCCAAACCCTAAAACCCTAAAACCCTGAACCCTAAACCCTGAAACCCTAAACCCTAAACCCTAAACCCTGGCGCAAGCCCAAAGCGTGCTTGGCGCATTTAGTGTCCGTCTCACCTCCGCACAGTTCTCGAAGCTGGGGATGCCCGGGTGTTTCAAGTCAGGGCTTCTTAGGGTTTAGGGTTTAGGGTTTAGGGTTTAGGGTTTAGGGTTTAGGGTTTAAGGTTACTTCTGGAGGACACGTGTCTCGTAGGATCCTACGAGACACGTGTGTGCTGACAGCTATATACGGCATGCGCAAAGTGCCAAGACGGCGCAGCGCCATGCCGCTGTGCGACCCAGCGTGTATACAACAGCAACAAGGCTGTAGTTGCCCTAAACCCTAAACCCTAAACCCTAAACCCTAAAACCGAATTAAATAAACCCTGAACAGAATGACAGTGAATGACACCAGAACCTTCAGGCTGTAGTGGAGCAACTCCAGCAACTCCAGCAACTCGGGGGGCTTGCGCCTTGGGGGCCCTTACGTAAGATTCTAGCCCCCTAGTTCCCATATCTGCAGTCGAATTTGGGTTTAGGGTTTAGGGTGTAGGGTTTAGGTTTTAAGTTTAGGGTTTGGGGTTTGGGGTAGTTACATGTCCCTTAATATGGGGGCCCTTAAATGGATATACCCCTTACAGGCCCCATACAACCTTCAATGTAGGCAAGGGTCCACATTAAGGGCCCATAGAACTACCTTTAAAGTAAAGTCAAGTCGTTCCATGGACATGTTGAAGAGCATGCCACAAACGCAATCCCCGAAAACAAACCAGCCAGTCCACAAGGCGCTGTGGTGCCTTCCACCCTCTAGCCCTAAACCCTAAACCCTAAACCCTAAACCCTAAACCCCCAAACCCTAAACCCTAAACCGTAAACCCTAAACCCTGAACCCTAAACCCTAAACCTTAAACCCTAAACCCTAAACCCTAAACCCTAAACCCTAAACCCTAAACCCTAAAGGGCCTGAACCCGAAAGCCTAAGCCACCCTCAACCCCATACCCCATACACTAAACTCAATAGGGGTTGAACCGAAGCCCTCACCCCTACAAGGGTTGAACCCTGCAGGAGTTGAACCCCAAACTCCAAACCCCCAAACCCTAAACCCCAAAACCCCAGCCCTAAACCCCTACACCCCCAGCACCCCAAACCCCAAAACCCAAACCCCAAAACCCCAAACCCTAAAGCCCCTAAAGCCCTAAAGTCCCAAATCCCTGCAGCCCCGAAACTTCCTAAACCCTAAAAACCTAAAACCCCAAACCTTAGAGCCCAAAACCCTAAGCCCCAAAACCCAAACCCTAACCCAAAGCCTTAAAGCCCCAAACTCTAAACCCCAAACCCCAAAACCCTAAAGCCCGAAAGCCCGAAAGCCCCAAGCCCCAAACCCCAAACCCCAAACCCCAAACCCTAAGCCGTAAACCCCAAACCCTAAACCCTAAGCCCCAAACCCTAAACCCCAAACCCTAAACCCCAAACCCTAAACCCTTAGCCCCACACCCGCAACCCGAGACCCGAGCTCAAAGCTGTTGAGTCGCCTAGGGCCGACCATGCCTGTCACGGCCTCGCCTGCTACGAGGTCTTCTCCTGCTTCGGGATGAAGGCCGCTTTTCTCAAGGGCGGGGGGGGGGGGGGGTTGCGGTTTAGGGTTTAGGGTTTAGAGTTTAGGGTTTAGGGTTTAGGGTTTAGGGTTTAGGGTTTAGAGTTTAGAGTTTAGGGTTTAGGGTTTAGGGTTTAGGGGGAAGTCTGGAGGGGTCTTGGCCTCTGTTCCACTCCTTTTGCTTTGAGGTGGTTGGGGTGATCTAGGGTTTTCAGGGTTTGGGGTTTAGGGTTTAGGGTTTAGGGTTTAGGGAGAGCTCAGGATGAACTAGGTGGTCATCGAGATAGCCGAGGATGTCTTGTCAATTGCTATCCCCTCTGTGGAGTTGGATGACTGCAAGATCTGCTTCACTAAGCCCTAAAACACCAAAGACGAAGCCCTGCGCCAAAAAGCTCCATCCGCAAACCCCAAACCCCAAACCCCAGACTCTAACTCGAAACCCTAAACCCCGAAACCCAACCCCCAAACCCTAAACCCTAACTCAAACCCTAAACCCTGAACCCCAAACCCCAAACCCCAAACCCCAAACCCTAAACCCTAAACCCTAAACCCTAAGCCCTAAGCCCTAAACCCTAAACCCTAAACCCTACACTCTAAACCCTAAACCCTAAACCCTAAACCCTAAACCCTAAACCCTAAACCCTAAACCCTAAACCCTAAACCCTAAACCCTAAACCCTAAACCCTAAACCCTAAACCCTAAACCCTAAACCCTTCACTTGAGGACACCACCGCTCACATCATGGAGCCCCTGGCGGTCTCCCAAGATCATTCCACAAATGTTGTGGGTTTAGGGTTTAGGGTTTAGGGTTTAGGCCTAAAGAGCCCCAAAGCCCGAACCCTGCAAGCCCTGGTGGCTCGATTTCACTCTCCTCTTACTCAGACTTCGGTTCAGGGCTTAGGGTTTAGGGTTTCCGGTTTAGAGTTCCGGGCTTAGGGTTTACGGTTTCGGGTTTAGAGTTTGGGGTTTAGAGTTTGGGCAACCCTAAACCATAAACCCTAAACCCAACTGTCCTACTGATAGCTAGAATCCGATTTGCACATCAAAACTCTTGACCCTACGCCCGAAGCTCTAACCCGATACTTATCACTAACTCGTGCACGTACCGTGATTTAAGCCATCCATCCTGAGCGCAAAGGTTATCGGGTGTCAAGGTTTAATTAAAGGTCTCAGTGTTGAAACCCAGGCATAAACGCTTTGGGGTTTAAAGGTTCTCATCCAGGGTTTGGGTTTCAAAGGGTTCACAGGTTTAGGGCTTTTAAAGACACTTTAGGGTTTCGGGCTCTCAGACATGGCACTGGCCATTTCACAGCTTTCAGGCAGCTTTGATTTAACTGTTTCGGCTTGCAGATTTGAATGCGTTACTTGGAAGCCCTTTTGACTTAGTAAGTGGGGTAAGTAAGGTGGGTTATGGGGATTGTAAGAGGGCTTCTAGGCGATACTAAGTAGACCTACTGCGTCAAAAGAGCTTCCAAGCATCCGCAAACTCTAGATCCTGCGCTGAGATGTCCATCTCCGGCGTGATCTTCTACCCCATGGGCTTTCATGCTGCACACCATGGGTGCCCCCCCAGACCTTTGGGGGTTTAGGGTTTAGGGTTTAGCGTCCACGGAAACATAGGGGCGGAAGCCCTAAACCAAAACCCCTAGGCCCTAGGGGGTACGCACAACAAGCCCTAAAACTTGTAGATAAACTCTAAAACCAGGAACCCCGAAGCTTCCAGGGGCTTCTGGTACGCAACGATTAGGGCAGAGTGTCGAGGTTTAGGATTCAGGGCTTTGAAACTCTAAAGTCTAAAATCCTAGAATGCGGGCTTACTCGGCTCATGGGAGCAACCTACAGGTAGGTACCCCAAATCCTAATCCCAAAACTCTTAGAGTTTAGGGTTTAGGATTTGAAAGGAGTGGCTTGGAGCATATTGTCTTGGCAGTGGTGGGACCCTTCCTAAAAAATGGCTTGGGCAACTTTTTTCAAGTTGGGGATCCCATCACATTTTGGGGGTATAACGTGAGACCCTTAAATCTAGACTCCTCAGACCTTAAAGGAACTCAATCATGCTGGATGCTGCACCGCAGAGATTCTAGGGAGAAGGCTTCCGCCGGGGGGGGGGGGGGGATCCCATTTCAGTCCTATCTTCATACTCCAACCCTTCTTAACCCCTGATTTAAAGGTTTAGCATGTACGTCAAGGGCTTAGGGCTTAGGGTTCCAATCTCCAGAGCACAAGCTTGTCGCTACTCCCCCTTCCTCCCTCCCATCCCTCCCCCACCCGACCACAAAGAGAAGCCCAACCGCCCTACCCCTAAACCCTACCTCCCCCTCCCCCAACAAAAAGTAACTTCTGCATTAGTTCAAACGTAAACACATAACATAACAACAGAACCTAAGCTCGCATAACATTTCCTAAGCAACGAGTACAAGAAACATAACAACAGAACCTAAGCTAGCATAACAGCAAAGAAACGAGTACAAGAAGCCTAGCAGCAGAACCTAAGCTAGGCCAACATCTCCAAAACACGAGAAAAAACCTGAACAAAACCCTAAAACCCAAACAAACCTAAACTCAAAGTCCTGAGTACCTTCTGAGTTTACGTACGGCTTCGGGACTCTCCCCTCTTCTCCCCCGCCCCTCCCCGTTCTAAGGTCCCCTCCAAATCGATTGGGTGTCTGTCTGTTTGTCCTTAGAGAGGCACAAGAGAGGGAGTTCAAGCGAATCAAGTTCGCAAGAGCCCCGGTGCCAATTCCCTATTTTTTCCTTGCTTGTTGCCTAGAACTGCCCATGAACTTTGAAGCAAACTGCGGGCATCTTCAAAAACAGACTCGGACGCTGCGGCATGCGCAAGGTACGACCTGGAGATGAAGCGCTTTGCGCTGTACATGCTGGTCTCGAGCCCAGGGCTCCTAAACCCTGTAGGGTTTAGGGGTTTTAGGGGTTAGGGTTTAGGGTTTAGGGTTTAGGGTGACAAGCATGTTGATCCTTGCCCGTGGTCCACGCGAGAGCCCGTTGATGGCCGCAGGCGCATGGCTCGATACATAGGGCGCCCAGAGGTCATGTCTCAATATGTTTGGAGGTTTAGGGTTTTGGGCGTTTAGGGTTTAGGGTTTAGGGTTTAGGGTTTAGGGTTTTGGGTCCATGGTTTTGGGGCACGGCGTTGCACATGTCAGGATCTTTGAGCTGAAGCCTGAGTGTGGTGTTTCGAGGTCTTGTGGAGGTTCTTGTGGTGTGTAGAGGTGTGCAGTCTTCCTTTTTGAGACATACAACGACCGACCGCGGCAGAAGCGGCATGGACCAGAGCCATCAGAAGATCTGCGAGCGGATTCTGCAAGTATGCCAGGACAAAATCCCGGACAGCGAGGTCTTCCGCCAAGTTAGCTGGATTGCCGACGGCCATTGGCACTGGATCCAACAGCACGTTCCTGATTTCGGCGATGACAGCAACTGGTTGTTGGCCCAGACCTGGGACAAACCAAGCCCCAGGCTCGGTTCGGTTGCAGAGCCTCCCCCACTTGGAGGTTCATGGGTACTTCTATCCCCACTTGTAAGTCTACTTCGAACCTACTTAGGGGACTTAGGGGCCTTATAAGTTCTAATTGGGGTTATAAGTGCCCCCACGAACCTCCAAGCAGCCTTGAAAATCAGAGCTAGATAGGTTCTTGGGGAATTTGACGGTTGAAGAGGATCTTATGGCCAACCTTGAGACCAAACCTTGGACCCCAAAGCCCCTAAGAACCCGTAACCCTGACCCAAGTGCAGCCATGTGAAGTTGCCTTGCCTAAAGGGGTTTAGGGTTTAGGGCTTGTAGGGACTAATGATGACTAATGGGGTTTGCGGGTTTAACGGGCTCACGATGTGTAGAGTGTGTTTGGGGCTTAGGCTCTAGAGCCCAACCGCCCCAAGACGTTCACTCGAACGTTGTGCAGCTAAGTCTGAGTTTCCGGTGTGGGGTTTAGGGTTTAGGTTTTAGGGTTTAGGGTTTAGGGCACGTGTAGGGTTAGGCTTAGTTCCAGGCTCCAGGCAACCGAGGGGTGCCCCTTTTCTGCCTTTCGGAGGGTTCGGGCGTCCTGCACGCAACTACCCTAAATCCACAACTCTACAGCCCAGAAGCCCTAAACCCCTAAACCCCTAAAACCCTAAAACCCCAAAACTCTAAACCCCAAAACCCTAAGATCCTAAAACCCTAAAACCCTAAACCCCTAAACCCCTACACCCCTAAACCCCTAAACCCCTAAACCCCTAAAACCCTAAACCCTAAAACCCGAAAACCCCTAAACTCTAAACCCCTAGACCCTAAAACCTGAACCCCTAAACCCCTGAACCCCTCGACCCCTCAACCCCTAAATTCCTCAACCCCTCAACCCCTAAACCCCTAAACCCTTAAACCCCTAAACCCCTAAGCCCCTAAACCCCTAAACCCCTGAACCCCTGAACCCCTGAACCCCTGAACCCCAAAAACCCTAAAACCCTAAACCCCTAAACCCTAAACCCCTAAACCCCTAAACCCCTCTAAACCCCTAAACCCCTAAACCCCTAAACCCCTAAACCCCTAACCCCTAAACCCCTAAACCCCTAAACCCCTAAACCCTGAACCCTAACCCTAACCCTAAACCCTAAAACCCTAAAACCCTAAAACCCTAAACCCCTCAACCCCTCTAAACCCCTAAACCCCTAAACCCCTAAACCCCTAAACCCCTAAACCCCTAAACCCCTAAACCCCTAAACCCCTAAACCCCTAAACCCCTAAACCCCTAAACCCCTAAACCCCTAAACCCCTAAACCCTAAACCCTAAACCCACCCCTAGACCCTAAGACCTAAACCCCTGAACCCTAAACCCTAACATCTCGCAGGCTCCAGGAGGCGGATCTCTGGGAAGAGGCTGCCCGTTGGCGCCTTCGGCTCGCGAAGTGGGGCAACTTTGGCGTGGAGAGCGGCGACCGCTTCAAGGACCAAGGGTGCTAGGTTGTTGGGAGTTTGGGGTTTAGCTTTGTCATAGTTGGGTACCATTTTACATTCTGAAGGGTACTTAAACCCAATACGGAATACACATTTAGTTATTTAATTCATATTATCCCAACCATGAACTAGTTCGGGTTCAGGGTTTAGGGGGTTTAGTAAGGCCGGTCTACAGGGTCTTGGGTTTCGCAAGGGCCACATTTTCTAGGAGCCTGTGGAGATGGTATGCTAATTTTGTCTCCTTTTAAACCCTAAACCCTAAACCCTAAACCCTAAACCCTAAACCCTAGAGAGGGGACTGTTGTGAGGCGGAGTTTTTTTGAATGTGATGCAGTGTTTTGGATGAAGTTGATTTTGTTGCGAGTGCAAAGCAGATGTACGAGGGTTTAGGGTTATAACGCCGACGGTATAAATGCCCTGACCTTAGGTGCATCAGGTTTAGACATTAAAACCTTTAAGCCTTATAAGGCGTTTAAAGGTTGAATTAAATTCAGGTTTGGGCATTCAACCTAGGTTAAACCTTAAACCCTATAGTGCAGCCCTATAGGGTTTAAACCCTATAAGAGGTTAAAGGTTTAGAGTTTAAGGTCTAGGGCATTGCAAAAACGTAACCCTCAGGGATTTAATCACTTTACTGTTTTCCTTAAGCCTGAAAGCATATAGTGTTTGGGTTTAGGGTTATAACGCTAAACTCTATAGGATAAGAACCTTATAACCTTATATGGGCTTGTATAAAAACCCCGAGTTAAATCCATTCATCCTACAAGCTTAGTACTGGAACCGACGTTCCCGTGAGCCGGTTGGGTTTTCGTTGATTTGTAGTACAAGCTTAGTACTGGAACCGACGTTCCCGTGAGCCGATTGGGTTTTCGTTGATTTGTAGTACAAGCTTAGTACTGGAACGGACGTGCCCCTGAGCAGGCTGGGTTTTCATTGATTTGTTGTACAAGCTTAGTACTGAAACCGGCTAGGTTTCCGTTGACTTGTAGTGCAAGCTGAGCAGGCTGGGTTTTCAATGTTTTCATGTATTTGTAGTACAAGCTTATCACTGGAATAGCGCCTGCCCGCCCTGTTACTACAAAGTTATCGGTTTATTTTCTTGATTATCGTTTTACGAGTCAGAAGCACGGCCCAAACGCTTCGGGCAATTCGTTTCAAAATCGACTGCGCGGGGTTTTGATACAACCCCATATTATAGGCCTTGAGACTTAAACCGTACTGTTTACCTTAAGCTTTACAGCAGATAGGTTATAACGCTGAAGGTATAAATGCCCACACCTTAGGTACATCAGGTTTAGGCATTAAAACATTTAAGCCCTATAAGGTTTTTAAAGTTTTAACCCTATAGGATTTAAACCCTGTAAGAGGTTAAAGGTTTAGAGTTTAAGGTTTAGGGCATTGCAAAAACGTAACCTTAGACCCTCAGGGATTTAATCATTTTACTGTTTTCCTTAAGCCTTAATTAAAGCATATAGGGTTTAGGGTTATAACGCTAAACTCTATAGGATTGTAACCTTATAACCTTATATTATAGGCCTTGAGGCTTAAATCCTACTGTTTTCCTTAAGCCTTACAGCATAAAGGGTTTAGGGTTCTAATGCTGAATGTATAAATGCCCAGACCTTAAATACATCAGGTTTAGGCATTAAAGCCTTTAAGCCCTATAAGGTTTTCAGAGGTTTAAGGCCTGGGGATTTAAATTTAAGTTTGGGCATTCAAACTAGGTTAAGCCTTAAACCCTATAGGGCCCCTTTCGGGTCAGGGTTTATCTACCCTACCGGGTTAGCCCTTTAGGGTTTAAACCCTATAAGAGGTTAAAGGTTAGAGTTTAAGGTTTAGGGCATTGCAAAAACGTAACCCTAGTCCCTCAGTGATTTAACCACTTTACTGTTTTCCTTAAGCGTTAAAGCATATAGGGTTTAGGGTCATAACGCTAAACTCTATAGGATTTTTAACTTTATAACCCTACATTATTAGCACCCACATCATCAAGACATGTCCTGTAGGCCCCGGGGACGCGAGAATACTATGAGCAGATATCCTTTATTCGCACATGTGACATCGCAACCTTCAGATATAGCGCTGGAACCAAGGTGAGATTGGATATCGTTTTGTGAAGCAGTTGTGGCTGTGACATCCATGTTTCGAAACAGGGGCTGTGTTTCGAAACAAAGGCTGTGTTTCGAAAGCCGGGAACTTCCGAATAACAGGTCTGGAAATACGTGAAAGCAAACCAACTGTGGCACAGCTACGGCTGTTGCGCTTGAGGGGGGGGGGGGGGGGGGAGAGGTGAAAAGGTGGGGGGGGGGGGGGGCGGGACCCCCCCCCTCCCCCCCCCCCCCCTCCCCCCCCCCTCCCCCCCCCCCTCCTCCCCCCCCCCTCCCCCCCCCCCCCCTCCCCCCCCCCCCCCCAAATCATGTATGCCAAACATCATGGTCAAGATTCCCACTTATGAATGGACTGTTGTGAGGCCATAAGTTTAAAGTTGTAAGCGTTTACTAACCCCTAAACCTTATTAAATGACTGAAAACTACCCAACAACTCCGCCTCACAACAGTCCTTTCTGAAACCCTAAAGGTGCCTGGTCTGTGGCTTAGGGCTTATGGTTTAGCATGAAGAGTGTCGGTGGGGCTTAGGGGATGGCAAGCCATGCTGCCTTCGACGTTTAGGGTTTAGGGTTTAGGGTTTAGGGTTTAGGGTTTAGGGTTTAGGGTTTAGGGTTTAGGGTTTAGGGTTTAGGCTAAATACCATAAATCTCAAACTCCCCTAAACCCCCGAAGCCTCGAAGCCTGAAAAACCCCTGTAGATCCGGTAAACCCCATAAACTCGATAAGACCCCACGAACCCCTGTCTCACTGCATAAGCCTTTTGGACCCTCAACAGTAGAGCCCAACTCCGTTTCATGGAGGACTCGCATGCAGCGCCGCTGTCGCTGTCAGACCTGGGAGATGAGCTCCGTAAACTCGTTGAGTGCGAGGCTGCCCCCAAGGAGTATTAAGGGTGTTTTCAAAGGGTTTTAGGGTTGATAGGGTATATTGGGTTTTTCCAGGCCAGGGTTTGGGGTGTAGGAAAAAACGGAATATGCAACATGGTCGTAGAAAGGGGTGCTGATCTTGGTGGTCCGGCAGCAGAGGAGAAGCTGTGGAAGCTGCTCTGCCGGCTTCAGACGACGTTGATTGCGAAGGCCGAGCAGTTCTTCAGGACCAAGAATGATCTACGCGGATGCATTAGATCCCTAGCAGAGGATCACGAAAAAGGCCGCCAGGAGACGTTAGCAGCCGTGCAGCTTGCGGAGATTATTTGGCAGTTCCGGCGTCAGCTACCTGCAAGCGACCTGCTTGCAATACGTCCCGATGTGCAGCACGAGCCGGGTCTACCAGAAAGGGTGCTTGCCATGTGTGTTACACTGGTCTCTGAGTTCGTCAAGGGAGAAGAACGCTGCCTTCTTTGGCTGCGCATCTCCCGCACCATCTGTGCCTTGAGGGCAATGTTGGATGCCAATCCCGAACCTGCAAATTGTTGGCCTTTTCTTGGGTTTAGGGTTTAGGGTTTAGGGTGTTTAGGGTTTAGGGTTTATCCCAAAATCCTGCTTGAGGTGCAGATCCCCAGGTCATCAAGATCAGCCGGGCCCTGAAACGAGCCTTCAGGTGGGATTGCTTTGGGGTTCAGTTCAGAGTTTTGGTTGGGGGTTAGTTTCTTGGGGGGTTTAGGGCTTAGGTTACGGTGTGGGAAGGGTTTCGGGGGTTTAGGGTTGGGAAGTGTTTCGGGGGTTTAGGGTTTAACGTTTTTGGGGTAGTATTTGCCTTGAGAGCCAGTTCGCGAAGTGGCCCCTTGTTTCGGGCCTGGCATTGAAGGTATATTCGGGTTTAGGCGGTTTAGAGATCAGGGCTGTGAAAGCATAGGGTGTCAGGTTCCGGAACCTAAGCCGCGAACCCTAAGCCCTACATACCCTAAGCCCTATAAACCCTATAAACCTGATCAAAAACCCTACAAATCCTGTAAACGCTACATACCCCACAAACCCTACAAACCCTACAAACCCTACAAACCCTACAAACCCTACAAACCCTACAAACCCAATATACCCTCAACCCTGGAATCGTAGAGGTACAAAACGAACTCCGGGCACGTTGTGCTGGCGCGCGGTTTTCGGATGACTTGGCCACAGCTGCGCGCCATTTCCAGGGAGCAGCGAGGCGCTCCGTTGAAGGCCCTGGGCAGATGTCGGAGCGATTGTTGGGGGTGGAGATCTGTGCGGGTTTGGGGTTTGGGGTTTGGGTTTTAGGGTTTTAGGGGGGGGGGGAGATCTGTGGAGTTTAGGGTTTGGGGTTTGGGGTTTGAATGGGGTTTGGGGTTTAGGGTTTAGGGTTTGGGGTTTGGGGTTTGGGGTTTTGGGGTTTGAGGGCTTAGCCAGTTATATAGTAGTCAGTACGATGGATTTCGGGATTGAGGGTTTTGGCTTGTAGCTTCGAGGCTCTTGAGGCTCGGGTGCGCTGCATTTAACGGGCCAGTGGCCAGCACCATCGAGGGCAGTGTGGGTGTAGGGCTTAGGGTGTATTTGGGTTTAGGGTTCAGGGTTTAGGGTTTATGGTTTAGGGGGGTAGAACCTACAGGCCTTAACTAGGGTGTAATTCGTGCACGTAGGGTTGAGGGTGCAGTGCTTAGGGTTTAATTGGGGGGGGGGGGGGAAACTAGAGCCTATAGGCCTTAGACTTGGGGTGCAGGTCAGGTGTTTAGGGTGAAGAGGGTTAGGGTATTTCGGGTTCAGGGTGAAGGGATCTAGGATAGAACTTATAGGACTTAGGGTCAACTCCGCACTACAAGGACCACCCACCCACCCGAGCAGCGCTTGTTTTGCTTACTGTTTTTCTCCCAAAATTTATTATGCGCCCAGTAATAGGTTCTTTGGGAAGCTTGAAACCCCAAGCCCAAGTACAGCCCAAACCTTAGACGCGACTGTATCGTGGGTTTGGGTAGCCACAAGTCAAGGTAACCCCCCTACACTCTCAACCTTCAAGACCACCCCCCAAAACCAAACCTCTCTTTCCCTGAGCCCTGAGACCCCGAAAACCCCTGCAGCTCGGAAACCCTCAACCCTAAACCCCAAACCCCAAACCCTAAACCCCAAACCCTAAACCCTAAACCCTAAACCCTAAACCCTAAACCCCAAACCCTAAACCCTAAACCCTAAACCCTTCGACGTCCCTGGCAGGAAGCAGGCGCCGAGTATTACAAAACCGTGGGCACGGGCCCAGAGCTCTTCGCGGTGGTGGGCGAGCAGGAGAGACCGAGCTACGTCAGTGAGGTTTAGGATTTAGGGTTTAGGGTTTAGGGTTTAGGGTTTAGGGTTTAGGGTTTAGGGTTTAGGGTTTAGGGTTTAGGGCATAGGGTTTAGGGTTTAGGGTTCAGGGTTGAGGGTTCAGGGTTTAGGGTTTAGGGGGGTTGAGGGTTCATGAAAAAAGCCCTAAAACCCTAAACACTAAACCCTTTAAACTCCGTCCTTGTCGAACGACCTGCCAGGTGTACTATGAAGACAAGAAGGCCTGGTTTGCCTACAAAACTTCCGTACTGCAGCCGTGGTTCGAAATTCAGATCATCGAAGTCTCGCACAGTCAGACTTGGAAAGATGATCTGCAAAGGGTTTGTGCTCAGAAATTCTATCCCAAAGTTTGGGATAGCCATGGGAACGAGCTAAAGATGGCGATAGCTGGAGAGCTTCCAGATATTCCTCGGGCGAACGACTTCCCTTTGCGCGTCAGCTTTCTCGCTGCTCGGTTGCAGGAATCTATAGTCTCCTTAGGAATAATTTTCTGCTTTCTTCCCAAAAAAACCTTCAGGGGAATACTAAACTAAGATAGTATTTGCATTATGGTTCTAAGGGTGATAGAGGAGTAGTGATGAATGCCTTGCCTAAAAACGTACCCACGCGGCCTTCTCAGACCTCAAGTCTTAGCGGGTTTAGGGTTTAGGGTTTGGAAGGATTGAGGGTTTAGGATTTGAGGTTCAGGGTTTAGGGTTTAGGGTTTAATTCGGGTTTAGGGTTTAGGGTCTAGGATTTAGGGTTTAGGGCTAACAAACTTGCAACGCCCGTGCGATCTCAGGGCTGTGCTGAGTGATCCCTGCAAGGCCTGGGCCGGGTATGAGCAAGTCTGGGATGCGGATTAGGGTTTAGGGTTTAGGGTTGAGGGTTTAGGGTTGAGGGTTTAGGGTTTAGGGTTTAGGGCTACTAGAACCCAGTGTAGGCCCTTATTTGCTTTTTTGGGGGGCGTAGGCCGCTGCAAGCACCTTTAAACCAAAAAGGGTACCCTTTTATTCCTAGGTTACTCTTGGGTCTAGTTGATGGCCTTACTTAACTCTAAACCCTTAAGCCCTAATCCCTACACCCCAAACCCCAAACCCCAAACCCTGTAAGTGCCTCGCTTGTTCGGGTCGATTTCCCGATTTTCTCAAAGGTCTACTCTAGATATACCACCCCAAACCCTGTCTCAGCCCTGAACTCAACCCCACGGCCACGCAGGTGCAGCAGTGCTGCAGCTCTTCGATCATCTTCAGGGTGACCCCTAAACCCCTAAACCCTAAACCCTAAACCCTAAACCCTAAACCCTAAACCCTAAACCCTAAACCCTAAACCTAGTGCGAGGAAGATTGTCGACTTGGTGTCTATATCCTAAAGCCGCCGGGTTTCTCCCAACTTTGCACACCCAAAATCCAAAGCCGCAAGACTCTGACAAACCTCAAGGCCTAGACCCGAAACCCGAATCCTTGCGAGCCTCTAACAAGCCCTAAACCCTAAACCCTAAACCCTAAACCCTAAACCCTAAACCCTAAACCCTAAACCCTAAACCCTAAACCCTAAACCCTAAACCCTAAACCCTAAACCCTAAACCCTACACCAACCCTAAACCCTGCAAAATCCGAAATCCCAACCTGACCCCTCGGCCCTAAGGAAGCCCCAGGTCCGGTTTCGGGCATAATCAGGGTGTAGGTTTTGCTAGATCTCCCTTGCAGGGTTTAGGGTTTAGGGTTTCGGGTTTGGGGTTTAGGGTTCAGGGTTTAGGGTTTGGGGTTTAGTCTCCCTTGCAGGGCCAGGCGCATTTCCCTGTTTTTTGGTGGGGGTCCTATAGGGGTTAAGGGTTTAGGGTTTAGGGTTGAACAAGCGTGCGTCGGGTTTTAGGCTTAAAGGGTTTTGGGTTGGGCCCAAGAACATGGATGCTTGCTTATGCCTGAGTATACAGCTTTATCTGTTGAGAAACCTGCCTGTTCACCTGACTTCTTCCACCGGACAAAGACGGTGTAGACTGCCTAGAAGGTGGACACGTAGCGACGCAGCAGCGCTCGGCTGCGTTGCAAAGCGTTTCAAAAATTCAGATGTCCTACGCCATGGGCAGTTTTTCTTGTTATTACTGCTAAGTTGACAGACAGGTACGCTTCTTTGCCAGTTTATCAGGAGAGCAATGGCAAGACGCTGACGGGAATGAAGAGCTACTAGTAAGTTTGACTTTATCAAAACTAGCTCGCAGAAATAGCTGCGACATTAGATTCAACAGATTACTTCTTGGAATCTCTTTCGGATTTTTTCGGCCAAGTGGGCCGAAGAGCACATGCTACACTATACCTGTTGCTAGAGCTCTTGCAGAGTGCACTATCACGCACCGGTTTGCTATAGTAATGTACGAACTGTCTATGTCGTCGGCAAACAACCTGTCTTAAGTAGTCATGCTATAGTTGCTTGTGCAGTTTAAGGCTAAGATTTCATTGCAGTACTTTATCGCTTACTAACATGATGGCTATGACAAATAAAAACAACTGTTGTTGTTACTCTTTCTAGGTTTATTGATTACTTCGCTTTGCGTTGTGTTGTTTATGTGCAAAGTCCCGGTCCATTTTCAGGCTAGTGGCTTTCTTGCTGGAATTGTTGTCTTTGTTCCAGATCTTGCTGTTGCGCTGATACAGGTACAGTCTTCGTGAGTGTATGATGCGGTATATTCGCTTGCTGATGGGTGCTTGCACATGGCAGCTTTTGCGCCATCTTTTATGATTGAGTTCTAAAGCCCCAAAGCGGCGCATGCACCAGCAGATCTTGGCGAACAACTGTCCAATGCCGTTCCGGCAGATTTAGTCTTTGACTTGCACAATTTCTTGTCCCTAGCTGGATGCAGTCAGCGGATGACGGATGTTCTGAGCAAGTTTTCGCAAAGTGCCGTGAACTTTCAGCGCGTTGCCAGTCATGGCTTTAGTTCCCTCAGAGACTTAGCACAAGGTTTGCCATCATCTACGTAGAGCCAAGATGAGACAAGGCCCTTAACAGTTTTGGGAACTTCGCCTTGGATTTAGGGGTGGACACTGGCGATCGTTCGAAGATTTCCTCGTCACAGCCCATAGGGTTTAGGGTGCAGGGTTGAGGGTTTAGGATTTATGGTTCAGGGTTGAGGGTTGCGACTTTCGTGTTTAGGGTGCAGGGTCATAGCTCTTCTGCCTACTGTGAGTGTCAGTTCAGGGTCAGGCAAACAGGAACCCTGGTTACCATCATGGCTTCGTCGTGCTGCGTAGCTGAGTCACGCCCCAAACCTTAAACTCCAAGCCTAGATATGCCCTAAGCCCTAAAACCCCCCCAAACCCCCAAACTCTTACGTAAGCCCCGTACCACAACATTTAGTGGAATCGGAGTCATCCGAATTGCTGCTTGCACGCTGGCGCCTTCCCAGTGCAGATGATGCGCGCCTTGCTTAGACGGTGCCTCGCCTCCCCCCAACCGTGTAGGGTCGGTGCTGCGGGATTCAAGACCTAGAATCAATACCCTACGAGGACCCAGAGTAGGCCTTGTTCCCGTTTTTTTAGGGTTTCGGTTCCCTCACAAGCCCCCTCTAAAACAAAAAGGGCACCCTATTTCTATTGCTAGGCTACTCCTGGGGTCTAGCCTGAGCTTACTCTAAAGCATCACACTCCCAAGCCCTGCGACTTCAGCCATAAACTGCTAAGCCTAGACCCTAAACCCCCTGTGGAGGTTCAAGGTACTTATGGACCAAGTATAACTGTACTGCCCACGTATAAGCCCCTGAAGTGCCTTTATATGGTTATCATTGGGTTATAAGAATATCCCAGGAGCTCTTAATAATAACAATAATAATAATACAAGAGAGCTCAATTTAATATTAAAAATGCAAAGAGATGTAATGCATGCGCGATTTAATATTACAAATTGAGTTAACGGCACAGTAAGAAAGAAGAAAGTAAGCGCACAGACGATTCGTTTATTTAATCCTTTTGTTCACCAGAGATTATTAATAGTAATAGCATTATCGGGACATGAATATCATGATTTACGCGTTTACACGGTTCATTCGCAAAATGCCACATTAAAAAAAACAAGAAAATATTGCTACATCGTTCTTTAGTGCTTTTGTTCTGTTTCCAAAGTGAATGGAATGGACGAACTCATGGAAAAGCCCCGTTTTAATTATTAAATTTCACGCGTCTTTTCATTCCTTGTAAAATTTGCTTACGCGCAAGGCCAGCCCTAATCAATCTTTGATGCTCATGATGCTCGCCTTGTGCCTGTTAGAAAGAGTTTGATAACGGTCATGAAAAGGCAAAACCGATGAACACATGCAGGGGGGTGAGGGGTGACGTGTATTGAGATCGTGTGGAGTTCGGTGCGGACGGAAGGGAAGGAGGGGGGAGGTGGTATGTGGGTAAGGTGCGGGGAGGACCGGCTGCTTGTTTGTGTGGAGGGTCAATGCTTGGCGGGCGCTGTTGTCCGAATCGTTTCTGTGTTGGGCATTGCTTTTGGCTGAAGCTCTCCCTTCTGTAGGTCCAATGCCCGCGCGTGGCGCTCAGTTTGTGGCTTGCTTGGGTCAACGTGGTTCTGAGCGGCGCTTGGTGGTGGCCGTATTTTGTGCGCGTGTTCGTGTCCTTTGTTGTTCGCATGGTTCGTTGCTTCTAAGGCCACCCAAGGTGCACCGAGACTCGCCAGGGGCGGTGGAGTGCCCCTTTTTCGCGGAGTTTCCTGTCCTGTTTGCTGTGTTTAGTTTTTGGCGCTGTTGTTGCGTGCTTTTGTTTTGTGCTGTGGGGTTAGGTGAGACTCAGAGTCTGCCAGATGCCGCGGCTTCAAGACCCGGCGGTCGAGCGTATGCTACGACCGGCATAGCAACTAGCTGCACTACCTCCGACGCCTGGTAGTGCGGCGAAGAAGGAGCAGAAGCAGGCTGTGTTTCGTGTATTGCATTCTATGTTCGTGGTTCCCGGTTGATGGGTTGGTGGGTTTGTTTTGTGCGATGGCCAGGGACTGGCTCGTATGCATCGTGCCGAACGATGCTAGTTTGGTGCTCGGCGCGGCTTTTTGTTTTTGTCCTTGTGTGCGTGCGTGCGTGCGTGCGTGCGTGCGTGCGCGCGCG